CACGGGGCTCCCCATGCTGAGGGCGCTGACGTTGGACTCCAGCGTGCTCGCTTGTGGGTCAAACGCCCCCTCTGGAGCTGTGCAGCTGATGACGTCGGGCAGCGAGGAGACCGGATCCCGCACGCAGCAAGCCTTGCACGCAAGTCACCCCAATCGGAGATTGCTGACGTCGAGCTCTACATTGCCGTTCCTTATATCACCATGACACGTACAGCTCTCCTGTACAAGATCGACGTGTGCTTCGACGGGAACTGCGTTGTGGGGGCATCCTGGGTGTCGCCCTGGACTGGGGCCTCGTCTTGTCCGCCGCAGGCGCGAGGGGATCGCCCCAGGGCGCCTGCCCGAGGCCGTACTCCCAAAAGTTGGGCGTCAAATGACTCACCGAGGGGTCGTGGACGACGGCAGCAGGCACCTCGAGACTCTCAGAGACAACGTACTTGCTTCCAGCCTTTACACGTGAGACACGATGACGTGGTCCTACACCCACACGGTGGACAACCAAAAGGGCAGATGCCGGGCGAGGATTTTGTACTACGGCTGCAGGGTTTGCAGCTTAATCTGAGGATGGAGGGAGAAAGATGGCGAAGATAACGGTGTTTAGCCCTGCCGGCGAGACTGTACAATCGACATACCCATCATCATCATCATCATCATCATCATCATCATCATCATCATCATCATCATCATCACAGTCGACACCATAATCTGCATAATCATTGTCAACATCATCAACATCATTGTCATCACCATCATCGTCGTCATCATCAACGCCACCATCACCACCATCATCATCATCACCATCAGCACCAGCATCATAATCATCATCCACATCATCATAATGTTCATCCTCGTCGTCATCATCCCCCTCATAAGTATCATCATCGCCATCATCCTAATCATAATCAACATAAGCATTACCAGCACCCTCATCAACAAGGACATCGTCGTCGTCATCATCACCACCATCATTATCACCATATCCATCACCGTCACCAGCACCGTCGTCAACACCAGCATCCCCTATTCAATATCCCTTTGTCTTTCTCCGTCGTCGTTATATTTCCCTCCGCATCCCTCATAATCGCTCGCCGTCCTTTCTGCTATTGTGACTCATCCCCGTTGTCAGCATCATCATCATCCTTCCGGCCTTTTCATCCTGCTCTTCCTGTGCCTCCCCCGACTGACTGAATCACATTTTAACATCACCCTCCCCATCAGCATTCTTCCTCCATCTGTTATCCTCTCGATATCCTCCCTCATAAAATTCGCCGACCCTGTCGGTGTGTAGAAGGCTGTGTTCTGTTTGACTCGTCGTTGTCATCGTAGTCGTAGTCGTAGTTGTCGTCATGGTCGTCGTCGTCGTCCTCCTCGTCGTCGTTGTCGTCGTCGTCCTTATCGTGGCTTGTCGCCGCTCCCCACCCATTTCACTGGGCCGTCCTCCTCAAGCGCCAGCCAACACGAAACCAAAGCGAAATTGAGCAACGTCGTAGTTGAGTCAAACAAAAAGCCCCTTGCCTTTGATATTTTCCCCCCCCCGGGGGAGGAGTACGGGGGGGGAGCCCCGGGGGCACCCCCGGAAGGTCCACGGGGGGGTCCCGGGGGGGTTTTGGGTCAGGATGCCATCCCCCCCGGGGACTCCAGGGCTCACATTCGCCCCACAACTGACCCAGAGTGGCCCACAGAGGCTCAAAGACGGCACAAGCGGGCCTCCTGCTCCTCCTTTTTCCTCCTGCTGCTCCTCATCCTCCTCCGCCTCCTCCTCCTCGTCCTCTTCCTCCTCCTCCTACTCCTCCTCCTTCTCCTCCACCTCCTCCTCCTCCTCCTCCACCTCCACCACCTCTTCCACCTCCATCTCCACCTCCACCTTCACCTCCTCCTCATCCTGCTTTTCCTCCTCCTCGTCCTCTTCCTCCTCTTCCTCTTCGTCCTCCTCTCTACTCCTCCTCCTCTCTCCTCCTCCTCCCACTCCATCTCCTCCTCCTCCTCCTCCTCCACCTCCACCTCCACCTCCACCTGGCCCCTTCTCCCCGGAAACCCCGGGCCCGGGGGGATCTCAGGGGCGCTCGGCGCGCGGCGCGGGCCCTTTCCCGCAGGCCGCCGCCCTCCGCGCCCCCGCCCTGAGCTTGGCCGCGAAAGCGGCGGAAAGGTAGAGCACCGCCACGACGCCTCCCGGCCGGGTGCCAGCCCGCCCAGAAGGTCGACCTGGGAGGCTTAGCCCCGGCCGGATAGTCGCCCTGCTCCTCCAGGTCGGGCGGCAGTTCGGCGCCTGCCCCCCCAGCACGGGGCGCCCGCAGGCTGCCGCCTCGCGGCGGCCAGCGGCCAGCAGCACAGGGGGTGTCGCAGCGCGTCGGGGTGCGCGTAGCCAGCCGCCGCCGCCCAGCGCCGGCGCAGCCACCCGGCCCCCCGCCGCCGCAGCCCGGCCAGCTCCCGCGAGCGCCCAGCGCCCGCCTCCGCCAGCAGCTTCGCCGCCCCGCGCAGCGTCCCCCGCGGCCGCCGGCGCCAGCGCCGCCCGCGCCGCCCGTGCCGCCGCTGCCCGGCTGCCTGGCCTGCCTAGCGAGTCGTCGCCCTGCTCAGCGCCCGCGCCGCAGGCCCGCGGGTGCGCGCCTAGCTAGCGCGCGGGCGGCGCGCCGCCGGCTCGCCGCCGCCGGCCCCGCAGCGCACCGCACCGCGCGCAGCGAAGCAAGCGGAGCGGAGAGCCTCGGCGTTGCCCCGCTGAAGCGTCGCCGCGAGGCTCTGGCGCGCCGCCGTGGGCGCCTCGGCGTCCCCGCGCGCCCAGGTGCACAGGAGTGCTTGCGCCTCTTTTCACAACAGCATCCTCCCTATCCTCCTTCATGTACGCATCCTCCTTCTCATCCTCGGCCCTCGCCCTCGTCATCACCCGTGTCGTCGTTATATGTTTATCCTTTTCCTGCTCCTCCTTCAACACCAACTCCCCTCGTCGCCCTGTTCCTCCTCCAGATCCTCCTTCTCCTCATCCTCCTCATCATCATCATCACCACCACCACCACCATCATCATCATCATCATCATCATCAGCAGCAGCAGCATCATCATCAACATCATCATCAGCATCAGCATCAGCATCAGCAGCAGCAGCAGTTGCAGCATCATCATCATCATCATCACCCATCATCATCATCATCATCAGCAGCATCATCATCATCAGCATCATCATCGTCATCCTCATCTTCTCCTCTCCTCCAGGTCTACCGCGTTCGCATCCAGCTTCCCTCCTCTCCCTCTGGCTTTCCGTCCTCCTCGACAAGAGGAATGGGAAAGAGTGCTGTGCAACGACACGCCTGGTCCATTCACTCTGTCTGCTGGGCAAGCTTATATATCGTAACTTCTGGGCTCGTGCTACCAGGCGGGCTGTGCGGCCTTACGACTTTGGCGACCCTAGGAGGCGATGTCGTCAAACAGTTATGGCTACACGTATGTGTATATCTGCTCGGCTTCGCCCAGCACGAAAACAAACACGTTCACAACGCATGCCAGAACGAACAACACTCCGCCCTGGCCCACATGGTTTCCGACACTGCAAGCGATCTTGACCATAAGCTCTTACGACCACGTAACTACCGGGTTTGCATACAGGTCGATGCCCTCGACTGTGCAGTGGACATCTGCCTTGGCTCTGGCGCCTTACCAGGCGATACGATTGCGACTGACAAGTTATTCGGATTGTACCACCCAGCCATCGACATTTGGATTGCCCACACACAGCAACGCCCTCACAGTGAGACTCTCGTGGTCTGTGAAACCGTCTGCCAACAACACGTGGATCTCGCCACTACCACCGACGACCTAGAACAAAACCCAATTTTCGATACGTTTCCAACGTTGGTGGATGAAACGGAACTCCGCAACGAAGCCCTCGACCTGGTCCTGCAGGCCAACGACATCGAGCACAATCGAGACAAAGAAGAGTGCGTGGTTTTCTGGAGTGGCTGTGGTGCCCATACTATTTTTCGTGAGTGCTACCACGGACGCACTGCCTTATCAGTGCCTCCTCAAGCGAAGTATATCGGAAGTAAGTCGCACTACACCGAAACGACCCGTCCTGAACGCATTCGTGAAGCCTGGAATGTATTTCAAAGATACTGGTCGTCGCCCGTATTATTGCATGCGAGTCGTACAGTTTTTTGGCAATGCAGCAAGCATCGGAACGATTTGCCGATCATGACCGCCGTGCCTCGCGACCTGTCGTGCCCGTGCTGTGAATCCGAAGCTGGGTCATCGGACGAGTTGCATAGACTTTGTACCACTTATCTCGCTGGGCCTGTCACGGACGTTCCTGACTGATGGTGCGCAAGGCTGTGTAGCCACTCCGCCTTTTCATTCCCATTTTCAAGATCAGCAGGATGTCGAGGCCACCGAGACCACTGGTACGACGCCGACGTTACCGACTCTGCCGACGCCGCTGTCACGACACCGACGCCGCTGGCACGACACCGCCACCGTTACGACGCCGACGCCGCCGACGCCGCCGTTACGACACCGACGCCGCTGGTACGACACCGCCACCGTTAGGACGCCGACGCCGCTGACGCCACCATTACGACACCGACGCCGCCGTCGCGACGCCGCCACCTACGACGCCGACACCACCGACGCTGCCGTTATGAAAAAAGCCAGCGTTACGACGCTGACGCAACCGACGCCGTCGTTCCGACACCGACGCCGAGGGTACGACACCGCCACTGTTACGAAGCCGACGTCGCCGACGCCGCCGTCACGACACCGACACCGCCGTCACGACGCCGCCCATCACTACACCGACGCTGCAGTTACGACGATCCAGTCAGTTGTTTCTGGGATCGCGATCGCGGCATCGTCTCCATAAGTGCCAGGGAGGCGAAACTCGTGCCACCTCTCGTGGTCTGCCGTCCCTTTCCCGACATCCCTTTACGCCTGGCAGCTCGGCGCCGCTGGCGAGGGAGCCCCCTGCCGTGGGCGCAAAGCGTCTTGCCGTGGCAGCGGGGGGGCAACCCGCACTCGAAGAACATCGAGAAGATACTGCTGCTCGTGGAGAAGCTCGGCTCAAAAAACGCCCAGGAAGCCACCCTGTCCAAGACGATCATGTCCGAGCGCGGCAACGTGATCGCCGAGGCCGCCCTGAAGGCCATGAAAGTCTGTGCCGACGGCGCTAAAGAGATGCAGCCTGGACACCTGTCAACGGTGTACATCTAGACAGCTGTCACCCGTGCGGCGGCCGCCGTCGAGGGCCCCAAAGAGACCCAAAAGGACGCCATCATCACGCACCGCCAGCAGGTGACGGACCAGGGGCAGCTGAAGGATATCATGTACCACGCGAAGGCGGCTAAAGCGCTCGACGAGAAGAAAGTCAAACTTGATCTCGCTGGGCATTCTGCCGCGAAGCCTGTGGTCACAAGCACAGTGCGTGCTGGTCGACTATCCGATGGCCGCCAGATGTACGGGCAGGCGCCCAAAGGGAGCCTCGAGAGAGACTTTCAGAGCTGGCTCGAGCAGCTGGGAACGATGGCAGCCCACGACAATTGAAACCCGGAAGGGGCAGTGCGTGAGCTGCTTGCTGGGCCCGTCGATCCCCGGGTCTCCTCGCTGTGCGCCGCTCCGCCCTACAGGTCCTACGAGGGCCACTTCTTCACGGCGGTGCGCCCATGAGGGGGCCGTCGGGGGCCCTCCCGTTCCCTCGGTGGCGAGGGGCAGCGTGCGTTGCCGCGAGGCGAACGGCGGGGGGGTAAAGCTCTGCTCAGGCTCCAGCTCGATCATGTGAGTGTGATGCGGGTATCTGGGAGGTCCTTCAGGCAGTCGGTAAATGTGACCTCCTCCTCCTGCTCCTCCTCCTCCTCCGCCGCCCCCTCCGCCTCCTCCTCCTGCTCCCTCTCTCTCCCTCTCTCTCCCTCCCCCTCCTCCTGCCTGCTCCTCCTCCTCCTCCCTGGCCTGCTCCCCCTCCTCGAGCTGCAACGCGACACGCGGCAGCAGAAGACGAGCACGCCCGCGGCGCGGGGGGCGGCTCCTCGCGGCGGCGGGCCCCCTCCAGATGGAGGCGACCACCTCAAAGATGGCCTGCAGGTAGCCGCCGAGCCGAGGCCCGGCCAGCCGGACCTCGGCGGCAGCGTCGGGCCGGGAGGAGGGGGGATGCTCGGGTCCCCGCCGGATGCACCCCTGTCCTCCCCCCAGACTCCACAGACTCGGAGAATACACTCCTCCTCCTCCTGTTCCTCCATCTCATCTTCCTCATCCTCCTCTTCATCAGCATCATCATCCTCACCATCCTCGGCGTCGTCTTTATCCTCATCCTAGTCACTCCTCCTCCTCCTCCTCCTCCTCCTCCTCCTCCTCCTCACCATCACCATCCATCACCATCACCATCACCATCACCATCACCATCACCATCATCATCATCATCATCATCATCATCATCATCATCATCATCATCATCATCATCATCATCATCATCATCATCATCATCTTCAGCATCAGCATCAGCATCAGCAGCAGCAGCAGCATCATCATCATCATCATCATCATCATCATCATCAGTATCATCAGTATCATTATCATTATCGTCAGCATCAGCATCATCACCAGCATCAACATCACCAGCATCGTCTTTATCATCGTCATCTTCTCCATCATCAGCATCATCATCATCAGCAGCAGCAGCATCAGCATTACCAACATAAGCATCATCGTCATCGTCATCGTCATCGTCAGCATCATCAACATCATCAGCATCATTATTAGTAGCATTCGTATTAATATCATTATGTTGATGAGTAGTATTACTATTCTTATCGTGATCATCAGTATCGTCGGCATTCCCTCCTCCCTCCTCATCCTCCTCCTCTTTCTCCTCCTCCTCCTCCTGCTCCGTCTTCTCCTCCTCATCATCATACTCATTAGCATCACAACAACCATCATCATTCTCATCATCATCCGTCTCCTCTCTTTACTCCTCCTCATCATCATCCCTTCCTCCATCCTTCTCCTCTCAATCCTCCTCCTGTTCCTCCTCCTTCTCCTACTCCTCCTCCTCCTCCTCCTCCTCCTCCTTCTCCTTCTCCTCTTTTTGGTACTATTCCTCCTCCGCCTCCTCCTCCTTCCCTCCTTACCTCCTTCCTTCCTTATTTCCTTTCTTCCTCCTCCTCCTCCTCCTCTTGATCATCCTACTCTTCGTCCTATTTCATCATTTTCATTATCCACTTCCTCTTATTATCATTATCTCCCTCCGCCCTTATCCTTCTCCTCCTTCTCTGCCTCCAACTTGTCAGCACCACTCCCCTGCATTCTCCTCCATCCTCCTCCCATCTACACCTCATCCTCCAGTGTCATCTTCATCCTCCTATTTCTTCCCCCCATCTCCGCCTCCATCACGTAAAGCCTAGTCGAGGCTAGTCGAGGCCACCAGACACCGAATAGTGCAACCGTTGCCGGGCCAAAGGTGGCCCTGAACAGGCTCAACGAAAGTGCGACGTCGTGGAACACGTCACGCCAGACGAAAAGAAACCTGTCTTGCGCGAGATGCCGTAGCGATCTTACGCGGTAGCTTGCGCGGGCCGCCAGCGCGGCACACCGCGTGGGTAGCGAGAGCGCTCACGCGAGACCTTACGCGGGCTGCTCACGCGCGAATGTCGGCGCAATCGACCCCGTGTCTTTCGTCACTCAAATGGCGCCCCGAGCTATCGGCCCCTCAAATAGCCGAACCAGATCGCTCAGCGAGGCTCTCTGGGGGCCCGAGCCGGAGCAGCAAAGAAAGCCGTCGTGACTTTCTCGCCACGCCTAGCCACCAGGGGCATCCTCCTCCTCCTCCTCCTGCTCCTCCTCCCGCTCCTCCTTCTCAGGCTCCTCCTCCTACTTCTTCTGGACAGAAGTCCGCTCAGGAGCGGACCCTGGGCGCCTTCCGAGAACCATCCTGACCCGTCCTCCCAGCACCGTCCAGCAATGGCGACGAGGGGAAATGCGTAAGTCTCAAACCTTCCGGAAACCGATGCCTGCCCCTGCCCCCCCTTCCATACAGTGAGCACATTGACAAGGAAACTGGCCTGTCAGCAAATGCACCACAGTAATGCCCTGGGGTCTCCCGTGGCTTCCAGGGACAACGAAGTCCGAAACCTCGAGAGTCGTTGAAGAGAAAATGGAAGAGGAGGATGAGGAGGAGGACGAGGAGGACGCTCACATGAGTCCTGCGACTGTGACGGCAATCTCACATGGGTGGAACGCCGCGAGGGCGCTTCAGGCCGAAGCATCCGGATATGGAATGGTGAAGGTGCCATACCTCAAAAGACCGATACTTGTAGCTGTTCGCTTCCGATTGGCTTCACATCGGATTGGCAGTTGGCAGCATGCTTGTGTTCAAAAAGAATATGACTACTCAACCTGTCCTAACCAGTCCGACCAGCTCAGCTATCCTAACTCGTCTAATCATTCGAATCGTTGAACTATCCTAACTCTTGACACTATCTGAGCTGGTATGCTAATTCCTGCATGTTCTAACGATCGACTCTGTCAGTGAGGATATTTATTTCCGACCCTTCCAGAAATTATAACCAATCTAGCTCCCCCTGCCGCATGTGAAACGCCCCGCGATGATAGTTGTTGCAGCGCGTCAAACTGTTGTAACTGGGGCCGCTGCTCTGACTGCCTGACCATCCTCAATGTCCTTACCATTCGACTTGTCTGTTTCTTCTGAATCGTCCGATCACTCTGATTGATCAACCCTTCTAGCTCTTCTAAACCTTACAGCTTTCATGCTTTTGCCGTGTTTCATACGCCGATTGTTTGTACATAGCTAGGTACACGTATACGCATGCAGGTATACATGTATGTGGCTATCTTTATATTATGGACGCGCACGTGTATACTCGCGTGCACACACACATGTCTGTCTGTCTCTCCCCCCACACACATCTACATACACGTATATATATGTGCATGCATATATACATATGTATACATTCACAGATGCAGATCAAATATATCAGTCGACGTGGACCCCATACTGCGATGGATTGCAATTTGTGCGGTGGAATCTGTATGCTGCAATCAATGTGTTCCAGTCTAGGTGGCGCAATCCAAGTGGTGCAATCGATGTGGTGCGAAACAATGCAAACCAGTGTAAAGCACCGCAGTGCAATGCGATTGCAATGATATGCAATGCAATGCACAGTAGTAAAATCAATGCAAAGCAATGCAATGCCATGCAATGCAATGCGAAGCAACGCAGTCAATGCAAAGCAGTGCAAAGCGATGCAAAGCGATGCAAAACAATGCAATGCAACGCAAGGCAACGCAAAGCAACGCAGAGCAGTGCAACAAGCAGTGAAAGGCAATGCAGAGCAATGCCATTCCAGTGCGATGCCATGACATTGCAACGCCATGCGATTGCAGTGCAACCGGGGGGACGGGAGCGACGGACCTGGACGATGGCAGGTGGTGGCGACGGACGGCGGCGACGGGCGGCGACGAGCCCGCCAGACCGCCACCGAGGCCCGGAAGCGACGGTGGCGACAGGCGGCGGCCAGCGGGCGAGAACCCCGGTGTGCAAGCACTACTTTTAGGTCGGGCGGTCCTCCTACAGGCGGATTTTGGACGAAAACTAAAAAATACCCAACAAATATTCAAAAAAATGCCCCAAAATACTCCAAGGACCGTCCTCTGATTATTTTTTAACTACGTGTGAATATTCCCCCTGTGGAGGGACATGCCCGACTTAACACTACTTGAGGAACACATGTTTTTGAAAGAGAGAGAGAGAGAGAGAGACAACAGACGAAGAAAAAACTGCATAAACATACACTTTCGGCGATCCGCGCAGATTTCTTGGATCTGCGCTGGACCCCCATCCCTGGCGCTTGGAGCGCGCCAGGGGCGGCGTCGCGGGGGCCCAGCGCGGAGCCAAGAAATCCACGCGGAGCGCCAAAAGTTTAACCGTATGGCGTTTTTTCTTCGTCAATTGTCTCTCCTCCGCCTCCTCCTCCTCCTCCTCCTCCTCCTCCTTCTCCTCCCATGCCTCCTCCTCCTCCTCCTCCGCCTTCTCCTCCTCCTCCGCCTCCTCATCCTCCTCCGCCTTCTCCTCCTCCTCCTCCTCCTCCTCCTCCTCCTCCTCCTCCTCTTTGAGACAAGATGAGCAGCACTGGAGCGCGCGACCAACGGCACGCACGACCAACGGAAGAACGACCGCAGGGACGACTGCACGGGACAGCCCGCGAGGCACGTGCCGCACAGAACGAGACGGGGAGCACGGGCCAGGCGCGCGGGACATCGGCACAACGGCCACGGGACAACGGCGGGACATGTGGGACGCACAGAGAAACACTGATACTATACGTCCGCCTTGGAGGCGCGCGTCCGACCAAAACATATAGTACACCCATCTTGCACCATATCGTTTCCCGAGCGGTGTGGCCAGAAAGCGTCCGCGCCGAAGCATATACTATAAGACTTCTCGGTGCGCCCGTCGCCCCTGGGGGGGCGACGCACATATAGTATAAGTATGCTGGGGTGACGCCGAGGACATCCCAGCAGGAAGCCCGCGG